TAGCCTTTGCTGCTGGTAACAATATGCTATGTTACCTCTAGTTACAGCTTCTTTGAATGGTCTAAGCCAACCAAGTAACTTGAATTAGTCTAGTAATGAGCTGTTCATTGCAATTTTAATCAAGATGATTATAAATTCACATGTAGTTATAAGAAATCACAGCATTTTGCCTGGTTTTTCCCAACGGTGACTTTTGCCAAACTGTAGTTTACTATCCTCACCAGGACACTGACGCTGATACAACCCACCAGTCTTAGTCATATCTCTCCCCATCTTTACTTGTATGTACTGGTGTGGGCGTGGTGACCTCTGTGTAGGTGTGTGTGTCCCCTGCTGGACTCAAGATACTGGAATTCTCAGCACACAAGCCACCCCTGTCCCACTCACCTCCCATCCTTGACCCCTGGCAATCAGCAGTCTGTCTTCCGTTTCTAAAATTGTGTCATTTCCAAAATCTAGTCATACAGTATGTAACCTTTTGGGATTGGCTTTTATCTGCTCAGTGCAGTTCCCTGCAGGTTCATCCAAGTTACACATGCAGCACTGGTTTTGTTTTGGTTTGCTAAGTAGTAGTACATTGTGCATGTATGTACTGCAGTCCAGGACATCTGGACTGATCCCAGTTTGGGGCTGTTACAAATAGAGCTGCTATGAATGTCCTGTGTAGGTTTTTATGTGAAGACGTGTTTCCTTTTCGATAAATCAGCTAGGAGCAGACCTGCTGGGTCCTGTGGCAAGTGTGTGCCAGGTAGTTTTCCAGAGTTGCCTTGAGCCCTTGTAACCCGTCTCTGCTCTGCCCTCCGCTTGCGGGCAACCTTGTATAGACGACTTTGCGTTTGCTGGAGTTTCACGTAAGGAACTCCTACATTCTCGTTTAGGTCTGGCCCCTTTCATTCAGCAGCATGCTTCAAGTCATCCGTGGTGTTTGTGTGTCCTAGTGGCTCATTCCCTCCATGCTGAGCAGCAGTCCACTCCGTGGGTAGACCCCTTTCTGTTTATCCATTCCCCTGTCTGGACATTTGGCTTGTTTCCAGATTTTGGCTATTGTGAGTAAAGCTGCTAACAACATTGGTGTGTAAGTCTTTGGTAGACATATGTTTTCATTTTATGTAGGTAAGTACTATACGTAGCGGAGGAATTGCTGGGTTGTATGGTGAGTGTGTGTTTAACTTTTTAGGGCACTACCAAGCTGTTTTCTAAAGGGGTTGTACCGGGACGCCTGGGTGGCTCAGTCAGTTAAGCGGCTGCCTTTGGCTCAGGTCATGATCCCAGGGTCCTGGGATCGAGCCCCGCATCAGGCTCCCTGCTCGGCGGAGAGCCTGCTTCTCCCTCTCCCTCTGTCTGCCGCTCTGCCTACTTATGCTCTCTATTTCTGTTAAATAAATAAATAATCTTTAAAAAAATAGGGGTTGTACCGTTTTCCATTTTCAGCATGTGTGAGAGTTCATGTTGCCTCACATCCTTGCTAACGCTTGATATGGCTTATCTTTTCAATACAAGCCATTCTGGTAGATATGTAGTAGTACCTCATTTTATTCTGCATTTCTGAATGACTAATGATGAACATCTTTTCACATACTATTGACCCTCTGTATACCAGTGTTGCTGTGGCTAATATATGCCCTTTGTATTTCCATACAAATTTTGAAATCATTTTCTCAGTTTTTACAAGAAAGCTGCTGGGATTAGAGTTAAGATTGTATTGAATCTGTAGATTGATTTTGAGAAAATTGACAGTCTTGAGTCTTCTGATCCATGAACATGATAAAGCTCTATTTTTTTAGGTCTTTTGTTTCGCTTGGCAATGTGTAGTTTTCAGTGTAGGGGTCTTGTATGTCTCTTGTTAAATTTTATTCCTGGGGCGCCAGGGTGGCTCAGTCGTTGGGTGACTGCCTTTGGCTCAGGTCATGATCCCAGGGTCCTGAGATCGAGCCCCACGTCGGGCTCCCTGCTCCGCAGGAAGCCTGCTTCTCCCTCTCCCACTCCCCCTGCTCGTGTTCCCTCTCCTCGCTGTGTCTCTGTCAAATAAATAAAATCTTTAAAAAAAAAATTTATTCCTAAATAATTCTGTGGTTTTGGATGCTGCTGTAAATGAGACCTGTATGTAATAATATTTTCCAATTGTTTACTGCTCTCAAATAAAAATATAGTTTTAAATATTTATATCCTGTGACCTTGCTAAATTCACTTATTAGTTGTAGTTGGTTTTTTTGTTTAGTTGGTTTTTTGTTTGTTTCAGTGTTTTTGTGTTTTGTCGATCCCTTAGGATTTTCTGTATAAACAACCGAGTCATCTGTGAGTGGGACGGTTTATGTCTTTTTGATTCTTTTTCCCTGTCGCGGTGTTCGGGGTCCTAGAACAGTGTTGGCAGAACTGGTGAGAGTCGGCGTCCTTGTCACATTCTGATTTAAGGGAAAACCACTCAGTATTTCACAACAAAGCATATCAGCTATAGGTTTTTGGTTAGATGTCCTTTATCAGACTGAGGAAGTTCCCTTCTATTCCCAATATACTGAGAATTTTTTAAATCATGAATTAGTGTTGAACTTTGCCGCATGCTTTGATGAATCTTTGAGATGACCACATGGTTTATCTCATCTGTTCTATAATATACTGGATTACATTGGTTTGTTTTGAAATGTTAAATCAGGTTTGCCTTCTTGGGATAATTTCTACTTAATTAGATTCAATTTGCTAATTTTTTGTTAAGGATTTTTATGTCTATGTTTGTGATGGATTTTTTTGGTAATGTCTTTGTGAGGTCATGCTGGCCTCCAAAAACAAGAAAAGTTCCCTCCTCCTCTGTTTTTGAAAAAGTTTGTCTAAGATTGATGTCTGTGTTGGATATTTGGCAGAAAAGTCTTCAGGGCCTGGAACTTTGTGGGAAGGTTTTCTATTACAGATTCAATTGTATTAATGTAATGCATTTAGGACTATTCAGATTTTCTGGTTCATCCTGTGTTAATTTGGGTAAATTGTATTTTTCAAGGTATTTATCTCATCTAATTTTTGTCCATAATTTTCTCTATCATTTTTTTTTAAGATTTTATTTGACAGAGCGAGACATAGCAAGAGAGGGAACACAAGCAGGGGGAGTGGGAGAGGGAGAAGCAGGCCTCCCACAGAGCAGGGAGCCCGACGCGGGGCTCGATCCCAGGACCCCGGGATCATGACCTGAGCCGAAGGCAGATGCTTAACGACTGAGCCACCCAGGCGCCCCTCTCTATCATCTTTTTTGTGCCTGTAGGGTCTATAGTGATGACCCCTCTTTTTTTCCTTCCTCACCTCACTGATTTCTGTTCTTTTTTTTCTTCTTTCAGCTGTTGATCAATTTTGTTGTTGTTTTCAAAGAGCCAACTTTTGGCTTAGTTGAATTTCTCTATCATTTATCTGTTTTTTATTTTGTTGATTTCTGCTATTATTTCCTTGCTTCCATTTCCTTTGGGTCTGTCCTGCTGCTTCTGGTGTTATGAACTTGAATCTTAGGTCTTGGCTAATATGTTGTATTTTATTATTCAATTGAAAATAACTTTTCTTGTGATTTCTTCTTTGAGTTACATGTTATTTTATCAGTGTGTTGGATGATGTTAAATACTTGAGGTTTTGGGGGCGCCTGGGTGGCTCAGTCGGTTAAGTGTCTGACTTTAGCTCAGGTCCTGGGATCGAGTCCCGCATCAGGTTCCGTGCTCAACAGGGAGCCTGCTTCTCTCTCTCCCTCTGTCCCTCCCCCAACTCATGCTCTCTCTCTCAAATAAAATCTAAAAAAAAAAAAAAACCCAAAAAAACAAATTCTATTAAAAAATACTTGAGGTTTTCTTCGGTATCTTACTGTTGGGTTTCTAACTTAATTCTGCTAAGGTCAGGGAGCACACTGTGCATGATTTCAGCCCATTACTTTTTTTTTTAAGATTTTATTTATTTATTTGACAGAGAGAGACAGAGCAAGAGAGGGAACACAAGCAGGGGGAGTGGGAGAGGGAGAAGCAGGCTTCCCACGGAGCAGGGAGCCTGATGCGGGGCTCGATCCCAGGACCGACCTGAGCTGAAGGCAGATGCTTAACGACTGAGCCACCCAGGCGCCCTTCAGCCCATTAAATTTATTGAAATTTGTTTTAAAGTCTAAAATGTGACATGTCTTGGTGATTTTTAAAAAAACTGTTTATAGATGTTGGGTGTCCCGTATGTATCAATTAGGTCATGGTAGTTGGTAGTGTTTTTCAGATCATCCATTGTTCTTGTTGTTTGTCCATTCTGTTTCTGAGAGATGGGTGCTAAGATTTTTATAGCTGTGTGTTGTCCATTTCTCCTTTAATTCTGTCACTACTTGGATTAAAGGGTTCTTTTTTTTTTAAAGATTTTATTTATTTATTTGAGGGAGAGAATGAGCGAGAGCGAGCACGTGAGGGGGGAGGGTCAGAGGGAGAAGCAGACTCCCCGCTGAGCAGGGAGCCCGATGTGGGACTCGATCCCGGGACTCCAGGATCATGACCTGAGCCGAAGGCAGTCGCTTAACCAACTGAGCCGCCCAGGAGCCCCTTGGATTAAAGGGTTCTGAGGCTCTGTCTTTAAAGTGTCTAGTTGGGTCTTGAGTTTTTCTCCATTCTACAACCTCTTCTTTTTATTGGACTTTTTAGTCTAAAGAGATCATTTCCCTTTTTCGTTTAGCGTTTTAACTGTACTTTGGATTTTTTATTTCGAGGTTGCTCTGGAGATTACAGTAAACACAGTTTTTTTTACAGTCTACTTAGTGTAGCAATAGTCTAGCACTCCACAGGCACAATTGCAAACTTAGCCTCTAGTCCTCCCATGGGACCACTCCCCACACCCTGTACTTTGTAGTTAGATGTGCTGTGTCTGTAAACCTCATGGCCACCACCAGCGGTGTTGGGATTGCTTGCTTAAAACAGTCATATGGAATAAAGTCCTCCAGCTCTGTGCTTGGAATCTTTATCTATACTCTTTGATGTTTTCTTTGCATTTTTCTTGTAGATTATCCTACCATGGCCGACCAGAGACAGCGCTCACTCTCTACCTCTGGGGAATCACTATACCATGTTCTGGGGCTGGACAAGAATGCAACCTCAGATGACATTAAAAAGTCCTATCGGTAAGAGGCCTCGTAACTTGTGTGGTTTGATCTGCATTTACCAGGGACCACTGTGTGTGCCCCCCCCCGCCCCGCCCAGTGGACTCTGTAGGTAACTGGGAACCCTTAGGTCCATTTCTGTATGCATAATGTGTTCCCTTATAGCTTAAAATTCTTATACTGGTATTTTCTTGGCAACAAAAAAGTAACACTTTGTAGATAATACACACTGTGTGCCCTGGAGCAACCAGTCCCACCGGGAAGCGGGTCTGAGCCTGCTCAGCAGATGGGGCTTTACTCCTTTCAACGTCGGGATGACAGGCTCCTCCCAGGAGCCTTCGGAGGGAGCTTATCCACCGCTTCAGGGAATAAGTTGCAGAGACACAAGTCCTTGGTGATCCACACCCTTCAAGCAGCCCTGCTTTGTGTTCTTCCCGTTGTGTACTTCTCACACACATACGAGAGAACAGGCCTTTGCTGCTCACTTTATTTGGCAAAATGTGCAGTTAACCTGCGAGGACACTAGAGGTCAGCAGTAGGGTTTGCCTCTGGGCGGGAGAAAGGTGGGCTGCTGGCCATGCCGCTGCCTCCGGGGTAGCCCTCACTTGGGGACTCCCTCCTCTGTGGCCAGGTCAGAGCCGGGAGCTTGGCCCGAGACAGCTGCAGAGGTTTCTTCTGATGCTGACATTCTCGAACTCTGTGGGGAGCTGGGAAGGGACACGTAATGGAGAAGTGTTTCCTGCACCGGGCCCTCCCTCTCGCAGATGAATGTGGAATAAGGGACAAAGAAGTGGTTTTGGTTTGCAGGAAACTTGCCTTGAAATATCACCCTGACAAGAACCCCGATAACCCAGAGGCTGCAGACAAGTTTAAGGAGATCAACAACGCCCACGCCATCCTGACGGACGCCACAAAAAGAAACATCTACGACAAGTACGGCTCGCTGGGGCTCTATGTGGCCGAGCAGTTTGGGGAGGAGAACGTGAACACCTACTTCGTGCTGTCCAGCTGGTGGGCCAAGGTGAGGGGAGTAGGCGGCCCCGTGCCAGCCCCGGTGCCCCGGAGGGTCTCCTGCCGGGTTGTGCTCTGGGTCTTACGGAGTCAGGGCATTGGCTCCGAGGGCCCCTCAGACATGGTTTCCGGGCGCGTGGCGGCCTTTCGCTCCTCGTGCGTCCGCGCGGGCCCCGGTCTCTGCCGCCGGCAGCGCCCCGCTGGCTCGGAAGTCCGTGTGCCGCCGGCCCAGCACACCGAGCCGGCCGTGAGTCCTGGAACAGGGGTCGGCGGGGGGCTTCCCCGCCCCGTTGTGGGTAGCTGGCTGTCCTTGTGAGGGAAGATGCGTTTGGACTCCAACGTGAGACACCCGCGCACCGTTTCTTCGTTGTGTTTTTGAGCGTTGCCCCTTGTCCCTGTTCCCCAAGCACGCGTGCGCCGCGGGCGCCCGGCTCCGATGACCCCGAAGACCCCTCTTCCCGGGGCGGGCGGGCTCCGTCCCTCTGGCCCCGCCCCCGGAGGCTCAGCGCCCCTCCCTCCCGCGCAGGTGCTGTTTGTCGTGTGCGGCGTGCTCAGCTGCTGCTATTGCTGCTGCTGCCTCTGCTGCTGCTTCAACTGCTGCTGCGGCCGCTGCAAGCCGCGCGCGCCCGCCGGCCCCGACCCCGGCGTCTACGTGTCCCCCGAGGACCTGGAGGCGCAGCTGCAGTGCGACGAGCGGGGTGAGTGCCGGCGGCCCCGGGGCGCGGCGGGGCGGGGCGGGCCCTGACCCCTGTCGCCCGTGTCGTCAAACAGGCGGGCACTGACACTGTGCGGGCGTGTCCGTGCCGGCGGCGGGGACTGCGGTGCGGACGTGGACGCCGGAGCGAGAAGCGGACGCGGCCCCGCGCGCCCGAGCAGGTGGGGAGGGACGGAGGGCCGGTGGCGACCTGAGGCGACGGAGGAGGCTTGTGCTGGGGGGCGGTCCGCAGGTAGCCTCTCCTCTCCGACCTCCGACCCCGCGGAGCGGCCGGCGACGGCGACGGATGGAGAAGGGACGGCGTCGCCGGGGGCCGCGCGCCGCTCTGGGGCCCGGGGACACGGCCGCCGCCCTCACACGACGAGCGAGCGCCGTGTGCTTGCTTTTCAGAGGCCGCAGACTCGCCGGTCGTGGTACAGCCAGCGTCCGCCACAGAGACCACCCAGCTCACGGCCGACTCCCACCCCAGCTACCACACCGACGGGTTCAACTAAGTCCAGGAGCAGCTGCGACAGAGGACAGCTCGGCCCCTGGCCACTTCACCCTTAGAACCACGGAGTGTAGTCCCAGAGATGGGGGGGGCAGCTGCCGGCCCACCGGGGCCCTTCCCACCTCTGCGCCCGCCCGCCCGTCGCCCCCACCACGTGAAGTGCGTCGCATGCAGTATTTAAAGCAGTTAGCTATGGTCTTCTTCTTCCTCTTCTTCTGTTTTCTCCTTTTTTAATAGCATGTATGGGGTTATGTTCCATGTCTGTCTGTGTTGTGGACGTGCGGCGGCCTGACCGCGTTAACCAGACAGCCGAGCCTCCTGGGGGCTTTCCACTCGCTGCTCCGACCTCGGCTGCGTGGTGCCTCCCAGCCAGGCGGGCTGGGGCAGGAGTGGGGGCTCCTTTCCCCTGTGTTGGTGGGGGCCGGAGGTAGGTGCTGCCCGGCGGGAGCTGTGGGGTGTGACGCCACCCCATGCTCTCCAGCTGTGTGCACACAGGCAGAGCCTCTGGACGCGTTGCCGGGAAGGTGCTGCTACACCCTCCCTTTGCCCGGTCCCCTCAGCATTTCCGTGGTGTTGGGTTTGTGCGGGTGTGTTTGCCGTGGTTGCTTGGCCTTGTGGCCAGGTTTTTCCCATGGGTAGGTTTGTTGTGGAAAGTGTGGGAGGCTCTGCTGACCCCAAGACCACGTTTTCTACCTGGGTGCAGCCTCGGTCTCCATGTCGCATGGTCCTGTGAGCATGCCCCCTCGCCAGGCTGTGGGAGGTGGTTCTTCCACGCTCCCACACGTCCCCAGGCCACGAGCTGGATTGATGGGGCCACATTCCTCCACCTCCTCTCCCCTTCGGCCACCCTCCACATTCCTTCAGGCCCCCCTGGCCTTCTGGTGGTCCTTTCTGGACCTCTAAGCACCACAAATGGTAGCAGTGGCCCAGTGTGCTCTTGTTAGAGGGGCTGACCGTCCAGGTTGCCAGTGGAGCGTGGCTGAGCAGCCCTGGGAAGCACACGTGGGGAGCACAGCCCCCTTCTCTGTGCTGTCCAGGGCTCCTGCCCACCCCACTGTCCATCGTCTGTGCCCTTCAGTCACCGTTGATGGTTCAGGCAGAGCTAGAGACACCAGGTTCCTGGAGGGAGGACCAGCTGGACCAAAGGCACAGCCTGGTGCCCTTGGCTTGTGAGCCTGCAGCCTGACCGTGGAGCCCCCCACTCACCGTTGTCTTGAGCAGCACCTTCTGTGAACTGTTGGAAGTCAAGTCTTTCTTGTCTGTGTCCCAGAACTTGTGGGTGGTGGCCCTGCTGCGGGAGACAAGGAAACGGGTTATGATGTGCCCGTGCTGGCCCAGAGTTCACGGTGGCCCCCACACCCCCAGCAGCCCTGGATGTGCTGTGGCTCCCTGTTGGACCTGCACTGGTCACCGGAGACCCAAGTGGTTTCCGCAGAGGGAAGCAGCATTCCGCTGCTCAGTGTCTCCCGCGTGTCCAGTAGGTGAAGAACAAGGAGGACGATGTCGGCTCAGATGTACCAGAACATGTTCCTGATGCCCACGGTTTCCACCGCCACCTGCCCCCCACCCCGCGCACCTGCTGGGCCTCGGCCCTTGTCTGCCCACCCACAGCTGTGCCGAGAGCAGGTTCTTGTTGGCCTGGAAGGGGCCGGAGGGGCAGCAGTGTCCGTGCAGAACGTGGACAGGCTCTGAGTGCAGTGCTGGCTGAGGCCTCCTCTGGCCAGGCTGGTGCAGTCGCAGCCGCTCCCACGTCCTTGGGCGAGTGTTTGGTCCCCCCCCCCTTTTTTTTTGGTTTTTGTTCATTAAAATCATGAAGACATTCAGTGAGAGGAAAAATATGCACTGTGATCTTAAATTAGGAATAATTTGTTAAAATCAGACATCATGAAAGGTTAAGAAATCCATTGACACCACCCCCTTCAGGCACAAGGGAGGAGGTTAGACCACAGGGCCGACTTCTGTGCCATCCCAACACAGCAACGGGAACGCAGCCTTTGTGATGTTCCTGAAAATTACCTTCTGAGCTGTTTTTCACTGGAATGGTCAAGAACCAAGTTCAAAACTGGGACTTCAGGTAGCAAGCCTCCCCCTCTGTGGGGACCACTGCAGCTCCGTGGTCAGGAAACCTCAAGGCCCACCACACATGTCCAAGCAAGTCCTTGACGGGCGTCTTCTACTTGATGGAACGTGAAGCTCCGCTGGGGACCAGGGTGCTGGGAGAGGGGCAGGTCTGGAAGGTGGTTGAACCCAGGCTCCTGTAGAATTTGTAAAAACTAAATAAATCATGACAGTGACGATAACAATCCTTAAGATGGTGGTAATGATTGCCTAAGGCCCAGGGACCCCAGGATCCAGACGGGGGCCTAGAACTCTCCCCGCCTGGCCCCGAAGGCATTGCCACCTGGCGGTTCCCAAGCGGAGCCCCTTCCAAAGGCGACTGTACTCACTGTCCGTCCTGGTTGCGTTTCCCTTTTTCTTGAGTGGCCTGTGTATTTCCCTGGTGAGCAGAGTTGCTGAGTCTGGAGGCGTGCGCCGTTCACTGGCCACGTGGGGGCGACCCCCCTGCCCGCCGCGCAGCAGTGAGAGCACCCGGGCCCTCACTCAGGCTGCCGGGAGCTGGGGCCACGTGCGGCCAGGGAGTGCTGAAGCCCGTCCCTTGTCACAAAGTGCAGGGCTCGCCCCGGGGGGCCCCAGAGCAGCCGGTGGCCGGCAGGAAGCACGGGAGGGCCCTGCGGGGTGTCTGCTGGTGTCTGCTGCCGTGTACATTTCTGTTCCTGCTCAGTGATGTGGTTGGTCTTCTCTCGTCTTCCCTTTGGCTTTCTTCTACTTTCAAACTGCTTTAGATAATACTGCTCGGTGTGTGTGAGCCTTCCTAGTTCCCCGGTCAGTGCCGCGGGGGAAGAAGCCGCAGTGTGCTGTGCTTAGAGCAGGTGGCCTCTCCACACTGTTGGCCACCCGGCATGGCCACGAGGCTCCTGCTCGGGGAAAGGTCGTGTCAGGACTGTCGCCATGCGTTCTGACTGTAGGTGGGCCGATCGGGTGAGCTCGTGCTGGTGGAGTGCCCACTGGTGCAGCTGTTGGTCTGGGGAGACACGTGGCCTCCCAGCACCTGGCCCTTGGGGTTGAGGCCGCCAGCAAGTGGGGTGGGTGCCGGCACGCCGACAGAGCTCGGGGGCCCTGCCTGTCCTTTCCTGGCTCTCAGCGTAGCCCCGCGGAGGGACGGGTGTATGGAGAGAGCGGCTGATCTCCTTCCTTTCTCAACATGCTGATCTGTGAGCCCATGTGACACAGGACCACCCTGTTTGTTCTTGTTACTTTGGTCGTGAATCCTCCTGTGGAATTGGCAGAAGCTACATTTATACTGCCCTAGCAAGCACGGTTGGCGATGTCTGTGCTGTAGGTGTGGGCAGTGGCTGTCCCTCTGTGTGTGTATGTATGTACGTGTATACCCCACAGCCGGTGTGCCTGTTGCTGTCCAGCAGTCTGCTCCAGGACGGCCTTGGGTTTCTTGGTGAGTCGGGTCGAGAACAGGGTCTTGGCGGCAGGCTCCTTTGCCAGGCGCGTAGAAGTAAATGCCGACCCTGGTGTGTGCGTAGGATTTGTGTGGACGGCCGGCGGTGGTGCCTGCGTGCACTGGGGTGACCGCCTGCTGCCAGCAGCACCTTCTTCGGGGAAGGGTGCCGGGGCCGCCGAGGGGCGACTGTCCCAAGTGCCACGCTCGTCCCTGGGGGCCCACCCGGCATGCTCACCTGACCTCCAGGGGGGTGTCCTTTTGCGGCATCTAGGTGGCTGGAAACCCTTCCCTCCCTTGAAACATTAAAACCAATTTTCTGAGCATCAGAAAGGTCATGACAAAGGGCATTCTAAAGGGGACTCTGTCCTGACCGCAGGTCTGCCTTGGGAGGGGTCCACTGGGAAGGAGGAGGGGCCACACAGTGCCATCCTGCAGGAAGGGGCTGGGTTCAGGGGCCTTTTGGTAGATTTTGTTTCCCTTGAAAATGGGACAGTGTTTCAAGCTAAGTGAGGAGAGGCAGTTTACACTGAAATAAATAAATATGTGTGTGTGTGTGTGTGTGCGCGCGCATATACACACACACACACACCGTTTTAAAATACTAAATGCAAATGCACGGCAAGCAACTGTCCGTGCATGCTGGTTTCTGGTTTCATCCTGTTGCTGGAATCCCGCAGCGCTAGGTGGGTGTACCTCTGACCCCGACTCCCATGTGCAACCCTGAGGGCCAGGCTGGAGGGTTAGGATGGTTCCTTGGTGATCTCCATCTCGTATGTCTGAATGTTGACCTTAAGATAAAGATAACTGTTGTAAAATAAATGTTTTCACTGCAAACCAGGCATGTGTCTCGTTCAGTGACCCCTGCAGAGTCCTTTCGAAGTGGGGGGGGGGGTCGTGCACAGAGGGGCGGGGGTCTCACTCCCGCCTGCCTGGCCCAGGTGTGGACAAACGCCCCTCCTAGGTTCTCTTTTCACCTCCATTGTCTAAATAGCCCAAGTGGAGGGGCGCCTGGGTGGCTCAGTTGGTTAAGCATCTGCCTTCGGCTCAGGTCACGATCCCAGGACCTCCCAGGGTCCTGGGATCAAGCCCCGCATCGGGCTCCTTGCTCGGCAGGAAGTCTGCTTCTCCCTCTCCCACTCCCCCTGCTTGTGTCTCTCTCTGTCAAATAAATGAAATCTTAAAAAAATAATAACCCCCAGTGGAGTGAGGAAAGCGTCCTGTAAGCCCGGGGTGCGTGGACTGTGGGTTCTGCAGCCCTCCCGGGACGTGTCCTTGCTTCCGCTCCCCTCCTCCTGTCCACCTCAACCCGGAACCATCCCTGCCGCCCACACAGGCATCACCTTCCATCCTCCTGCATGACATAAGGCCGCCAGGCTGCAGGAGTCTGGGACAGCACGCCGGCCTGAGCCCTCGGCTATGCGGCAGGCCTGTCCTCGGCTGGTAGCACAAGGTAGACGAAGGGTGACGGTGGGGTCCCTCACACCTGGGCCTGTGCTCCATGCCGAGCCTTGTCCACCCTGTGGAGGCGGGCTTCCAGGGGTTGTCCCACTGCCTGCTCCACCCAGGGCATCAGTGTGGGGTACACTCGCGTCCTCGTGGCTGGACACGACTGTCCTGTCTGCCTGGGTCACATCCATGCCAGTGATGAGCCAGGACTGCATCCCAGCATCTCCCTGGGAGGGCCAGATGGGAGGATGGTCCTGACTCCCAGGGGTTCTGAGAACCGAGCAGGGCCTGGCTGGCGACTCTGTGCAGCTCACAGCCGGGGGTTTCTGGCCCCACTGAAACTACTTCTGTGCCTCTCTTTTCTCTTCCCTGAGATAAATGTCTAGTCGTGGACTCTTGCAGGAAATGCTGTCCCTGCCTCAGGGCATGTGTGTCCCTGGGGGTTCTGCACACATTGGGGTGGGCGGGGACCCTGGCCTTAGGTGGGGGAGGACACCTAGACCCCGGGGGCCCCGTGGGTGTGACCACGTGGCCCAGGCCACAGGTGCCACCTTCCACACCGTTTCAGCGACTATGCCAGGCGCTCTCATACCTGGGACCCCCTGGGGTCAGGGTGCTGGGTCTTCGGTTCCCTTGACTGAACTCAGGGCAAGGCAGAAATAGTTTGAAAAAAAGCAGCATAAAAGTACTAAGGATGATGTAACAAGCACTTTGAAGGAAACCCTTCCTCTAGGACATAGGAACTAGTGTGACTTGGATCTTCCATGAAGGAGAGAATGGCCCACAGTGAAGACCTGTGAGTCTCTTCCCTACCCAGTGTCCCCTCCAGCCTGCCGGTGTCAGCTTCCACAGATCCTATTTCATTCCCGATTGTATTGATCTCTAAAGTCTTGCATAAAGAGTACTACACTGTACTGGGTCAGTATGCATTTTCATTCAGTGTAGGTTTTTCCAAGCAGCCACCCCCCATCTAGGTCTAGTTTATTTGGCTGCTCATTGAGGACATGGGTTTTCAGTTCTTTGCCACTGACTAGGGCTGGGCTGCCGGGGGGGCGCCCCCAGACTGCCTCCGTGGCTGCGCTGTCCACGGAGCGGGAAGGCCCCTCCCCTCCTCCTCAGGCTTCTCAGACCTTGTTCTCTGTGGGAATCTCACAGGGAAATCAGAACACCAAGCCTTAATTAATGATGGGCATTCAGGGTGGCAGGGCCCCAACACCTGTACCCCTGATCTAGGGGACCGTGGGCGGGGGACTGAGTGGCACTCCGGGGAGATTCCCGAAGTCCACGCCCCCAGGGCCAGTCCGGGAACTCTGGGCTGGCGGAGGTCATGGTCGCCATGTGCGGACGTGGGTCCTTAGGTGCGCGGCCCTCTCCCGCTCCCCACCGCCCGCGAGGAGCGCGACCAGGAAACGGCAAGCCACACGGGGCAGGTGTTGGGGCGCGGGGGGCGTGGCCACCAGGAGAGATGGGGGACTTGCCCGCCGCCCCGACCCCCGTCACCATTTGAAACCACTTACGACACAAGCTAGAGGGGGTTCACGGGGCGCGGCGGGGGCAGGGGTCTTGGGACCCAGGGCGCCAAGGCCACGCGCGGACTTCCTCTGGCTCAACACGGCCATGGCTGCCACTCCTCGAGAGACCCTCGCGCGGCCCCGGGGGCCCCCGGCGCGAGACCAGCGCGGGCAGGACGCGGGGGGTGGGCCGCCGGGTCTGGAGGCGTCCCCGGCCCCGAGCCGGAGGGGAAGGCCCCGGCGGGAAGGACCCGCCAAGTCGCGGACACCGGGCTCTCTCTTGCTTCAGAGGGACCCTCTGCTCCTACTCAGACCCTGCTCAGCACCCTGGTCCCCCCGCCCTCTCCGCACAACTCCCGTGGTCTCCGAGGCCGCGGCCCCCTCCACCCCTGTCCGCTCACCCCCACGCGGGCCCCTCTCCGTCCAGGCCCGTGGTCCCGGGCCGGCGGTGTCGTGGTCGGGGCGCTCTCCCGGCGGCTCCGCCCGCGCCGGGACTCAGGGGCGCAGTGGGGGGCTCAGTGGAGGGCCGGGGCGAGCCGGGAGGGGCGGGGCCGGCGCTAGCTCCACCCCGGCCACGCGACGCCGGGGCGGATCTTGGGCCCCCGCTGGAAGCGGGGTGGTGACCAGAGGATCCTGAGGGCCTGCGCTCGGAGCCAGGCCCACCGGCCCGCAAGCCGACCCCGGATGTGTCGCTCGTGAAGTCGGTGTAGCTCCCACCCCAGCCCTTCCTCTGGCCCCAGCCTGTGGCGGTCGAAGAGTGGGTCCCCGTGCACCTCCATGTGCGAATTAACCCATTCTTGCTCTTCTTAACCCAAGCCCAGCCCAAATCCACCCGCTCACCCCTGCCCTGCCCCTTTGTACCTCTGAATCTCCTGCTCAGACCAAACCCCCAGCTCCACCTTGGTGAGCCCGAAAGTCCCCAGCCTTCTGTGTTGTCTCTGACCACCTCCTGCCCTCTTCCCAGGATTCACCCTGGAGCACTTGGGGCCCAGGAATCCAGGCATCTTCCAGGATGCGTCCAGGCTCCAGGTGGCCCCCGCTGAGGCCCCAGGCGGGGTGGAGTCTTTCCCCAGGCCACGCCAGCCCCCAGCCCCTACTGATGACAGCCTGCTTGACCTGCTTCACTCAGCGTGACAACCATATGTGCCCAGCGCTGGGTCTGGGGCCCCATCTCCTGGCCGGGGCGCGCCCGAGCTTCCCTTCCCGCCTTATGGCGGCCGCTGCTAGGGAAAGGGGTAGCACCTCACAGGCTGACGAACCTGAGATTGACCCTGGAGACACCATTCTCAGGCTGGACAGTCCTGGAGGCACTGCCCAGGGACGGCGGGCGAAGCCCTCAGCAGGCCGGTGCATCATGGGAGCTTCTGGACTAGTGTATGGGGTGGTCTGCACCCCCCCTCCCCCTATCAAGCTCTGAGGATATGTCCAGACTGTAGCTCCATCTTCCCAGCTCCCCTCAACTTCTCCCCCAGGCGCCTGCCCCGCCCCTCCCCCCAGCCTCTGCTGGGCCCCAGAGGAGCCCAGATGCCCAGAAAGGCAGCCCAAGGGCCACCTGGCTCCCAACCCCCAGTCAGTCCACCAGAGAGCTTCCTAGGGATGGGCTTGTCCATCCCTGGAGAGGGCCTTCTCCCCAGACTGGAATCCCTTGATGTATCCAGTAAGCGATGTTGTGTTACCCCAGGAGAGTCTTGGACCTTGGTTCTGGCCCTATCTCTGGGACTAGGAGGCTCCCAGGGACTGGAGGCATTGCTCCCTTTCATTGGCATCTTGAAGACCCTCCCCCTGTGCTGTTTGGAAAGTGACCCACTTCTACCACCGCCACAGGGGCCTGGCAGGAAATGGGTTCAAGAAGTCCCCTAGCCTGTGGCCTAACCTCCCCAAGCTGCCTTGGATGAGCGGACCACAGCCTGAGGGGGCAGATCCTCTGGTTCAGGCCGCCTGCCTCCCGATTCTGCCCTAAGCCCCCAGTGTTGTCCTCCCCCAGGGGCTGGTGGCCGAGTTGGGTGGGGGCAGCTGGGCCCTTTCCTTTCAGCTGCATCTGTGTGCCACAGCACGTGAGATGTGTGTGTGTGGTGTTGATACATGCATGTGCATGTGTAGGTTTGGTTTATCTCGGGGAGCTGGTCAGCGCCTAGCTGGACTCTGGGGAGGCCTCCAGGGAATGACCTAGCCTCTCCCTGGCCCCTGATTAACTGTCCCTTATCTGGGAAGACCTGGCTTGACAGAAAGGCATCTTCCCAGCCTCAGGGCCCCAGGACCCCTCCTAAGCAGGGCCCGGCCGGGTTCCCAGCACACAGCACGAGAATGGCAGAGTGAGCGAGGGGGGGCTCTGGAACATGGGAGAGAAGTCCACTCACCAGCTTGGGCAGGAGAAGCTCCTCCTGCTGACCTCTGGGCCCTGTGTTGATTCTCTGTCCCTGGTGTCTGGCCACCCCTTGGACAAGCCTCCTGCCTTTATCTGCCTGCCCTTGGCCTGGCCCCCACCCAGTGACTTCCTGTCCCCGCCCCCACAACAAGTTTTTCCATGACATGGCCTTTGGTTGGGGGGGGGGGACCAAGGAGACCAGAAGGGAAGGAAAGAGGCAAGACACAGGTCGGGACAACAGAGGGGTAGGGAGACTGGGGGTGCCTGACAGCCCATCCCCAGCAGCCCCGAGGTCTGCCTACCCTACCCAGGCAGGCCTGCCACAGACAGGCTGTCTGGAGAGAGCCAGAGAAGCCTGCCTCTGTCCTCGAGCCCAGAAGCAATGAAGACAGGGCTGGAGGTGGGTTTCTGGCCCTGAACAGCATGGCTGGCCCACGGAAGCTGTGTGGCCATCTCCCCTGCAAGCGGGGCTCTTGCCAGTGGTAGGGACCAAGGCTTCACTCCCTCCTACAGCCGCCCACACACTGATTTCCGCTGGGTTCCCTGACAATACAAACACGTGGTGGGTGGGGGCGGGGGTGGTGGATGGCTGCAGAGGCTCCCTCTTGAGATCCAGAGCCCTAGGTCCAGGCCAGGGGGCCACCAAGGGGCCCATCTAGCAGAGCCGGGAGCTGTGGGCCCCAGCTCTGTTCTCCTAAATCTGACACTGCACCTGGACTGTAGGGAAAGCCCAGTGCGGGACTAGGAATGCCTGTTCTGCCGCTCATAAGGCGAGGTTCTGACCAGGCTCCTCAACTCCCTTCCTCCCTATGGTGCCCTGCAGCCTGGGGGCTGGGGCTACTCCTCACGCCCAGGTCCCAGGCAGGACAGCACCCGAGGGCCCCCAGCTAACCAGGCACGGCTTCATTTTCCCAAACTTTATTTTATAAAACGTATAGAGTAAGTTACAGCGGTCATATCCTTTTTAATTAAAATAAGTTAGGACTTGTCTGTAAGCAAGGCCATGAGGCAGGAAGAGGCGGGGTGGCGGCAAGAGCAGGCAGGCTCGGGGCGGGCAGCTAGCTCGCGGAGGCCACTTCCTCCTCATCACTGCCGTCAGGCGCCGCGTCCGTCCCAAAGTAGCGGTCACCGAAGTTACCTGGGGAAAGAAGCAGGCCCTTGTGGTGGGGACTCAGGCCCACCAGGCCCTGGTGCACCACTGGTCAGCCCCGGGTCAGCCTCACCAATGCCGGGGATGATGCGGAACAGGTCATTGACGCGCTTGTCCACCGCCGTGGTGATGATCCTCACTCGTGGGAAGGCGTAGGCCACCGAGTGAACGCCCATCTCGGCCATGAGCAGCGACAGCAGGAAGATCTTGTCCTCCGGAACATCATGGTCCTGCGCCGTAAGGGGCCAGTGAATCCCCACCCGGGCCTGCCGCGCGCAGCCCCCCCCGCAGCCCCCCCGCCGCGCAGCCCCCTGCGGTCACTCACCAGGAGCACACGCACAGCCATCATGGCCGCCGCGCCCGTGGACACCGTGCAGTCCATCAGGATCACGTGGTCGTCACTGATGTCCTTGGGCAGCCGCAGGTAGTGGAGCTGACAGAAGCCAGAATCAGAGCCAGCCCAAACCTGGAGCTGCCCTTCGGGCTCCCGCCCCCGCCCCTCGGGCGACCCCGATGCCCCCTTCCCCGCCCTCATGTCCCTCCCCCAGGCCCCCCATACTCCCTCAGCCCCTGCCCTCTAGGCCCTCTCCCCCCCACCCCCCACCCCCCCGCCGCCACACCTCGGGCTCCCCGGTGAGCTGGTTGGTCTGGATGAGGATGGTGCCGATGCGCACGTCTTTGCACACAGCCCGCAGCGCCGGCTCCATAGTCTCACCCGCACGCAGGATGGACACGCCAGTGATCTGCGGGCCCGGAGGTAGGGGGAGAGGAGCCGGCCGGACCTCCCACCTCCTGGGCCGCCCCAGCCCCGCCCCCGGGCTGCGCCCCAGCTGGTACCTGCTTCCCCGCATAGCACTTGCCCGTGTAGTCCTGCCCCTGCGGGGTCTGCACGACGCAGTCCTGCGCACAGAGGGCGTGGGGGCGCTCGTGAGCACGGGGAGCCGCCCCCCGCCCGTCCCAGATACCCGCCCCACACCCCGCTCCGCACCTGAAAGGGCAGGAAGGAGAGCGCGTGCTCAATGAGCAGCCGCATCAGCCTCTTGGAGTAGAAGATGAATTCATCACGGCTGGTCTCCTTGTCCCTGCGGAACGGTTGGGTTAAGCAGAGGTGTGGGCCGCCAGGGGCTACCTCGCCTCACATAAGGGCCCTCACCTGATGATGGTGTGCATGCCCCGCACCTGCGGCGTGCTCTTGAGAACACTCAACGTTCGGGGCAGGGGGTGGCACTGATGCGCCGAGGCCAGCGCGGCCCTGGGAACACAAACCGATTGGGGACTCAAGAAGGGGGTGTCTTCTCCCAGAGCCCTATCCTCCCACTCCGGACACTGTGTGGGGGCGCATGTGATGGGGACAATGAGCTGTGCAGGTGGGGGCCGCCGCCTCCCTGTGGCTGATCTGGAGGGAGGGCCCCAACCCCCGAATACTCCCATCAGGCGAAGGTTGAGCAGAGCAGCTGACCATCAGGTGGGAAAGGGAGGGGCTGTGGTGTGAGCCGCCCCTCCCAGCCCAGATCCCCTCCTGCGCTTGCACGGAGAAAGCAAAAAGGAGGACCAGGCAGCGGGAGGGCAAAGGAATCTCAGGCCCCAGGATGGGCAACCGGTCCTCAATCCCAGAACATGTCTCTCTGGGGAACGGCTGAACTTCAGAGCCAAGTCTCGCCCTGACCCTTCCCTCCAGGTGATGCACGGCTCCCCACCTCGGGACACGCGGGCAAATCTGGCTTGGGGCCAGCCCTGCTGCACCATGCCCGGGGCGGGGGAAGGAGCAGGGGGCGGGAGGGGCGGAGCAGAGGGGGCGGGGAGAGGCAGGGGCGTGCGGG